AGATACCGATATATCTAGGGTCTCGTGATTAGAGTAAAACGCATTTCAACCTACACTCAGAAGTGTGTGCATCCCTCTCTTTACAATGTACACATGGGTGCTGTTACAGGATGAATTGCTCTTGGAAGTGATGGTTGTTTGACCCAATCTAATAGAGTTCTGTGTTGATTGCCACTGCAAGAAGGTTGGATTATCTTTCTGGCCATTGTATGAATGTAGCTAACAAAAATGATTCTCTGCACAGTCTTGATTCACAATCCAGGTTTAATTACTGTGCTGGGGAATCTAGTCATCTTGTATTGAACCAGAGACTGGAATCCAAGGCACATTGATTGCAAATCAAACCACAATTTGGAAGACATGAAATTCTTGCTGTTTCCTTTAGTTTCATTGGCCCAGTGGCACATCCAGATATAGAACTTGTTTAGCTTGTGGAGTGTTAGGTCATCAGATGAATTGAAGTATAGCTTCCCATTAAATAAGGTTACAATCTCGCTTGTGTGCTGAATAAGCTCTATAACAGCATCTAATTCATCACCATCATTTCTGGTCTTTTTCAGGTGTTCCTGATACTTCTGCAGAGCAAAGAGAACATTAAAATATGATGAGTTAAGTACATGTTGATGGAAGGTAATAAAGAATTTTAAATCATTTCTGTGGTAAAAATGATTTTAAAATTGTCTTTGGGGTTTTAGATCAAGTACTGATGAATGATAATAAACAACACATTGTTGAATACTAGCAGAAAGCATAGCATACCTGACTGAGATATTTACCAGTACAAAATAATTTTTCTAAACAAGAAACATTATAATCTTACGGGAATTCAATCAAACATGCATGACATCAAAATAATCACCTCTATTAGAAACAAAATCTTTGCATCAATCATATCTTCAGCAAGTTTGCTTCTTATTATACTGGCTGAACCAAGGTTTTAAGTGTGGATGGTCAATTTCTTGTGCAGTGGGAGTGAGAAGCTTTGCTGGTCCAAGTCAAAGGCACTTCTGAACTGCTTCTCATTCTTATTGCTCTTGTAGACGTTATTCCTAATCACTGGGTTGCCGTAGGCGAACCCAGTCATAAAATGGGAACAGGGCAGTCTCCTATGTAGAAAAATGGCTTAACTGCACAATCCTAATGAATGTACATGTGTATTGTGCTACAAGTCTCGGCTTTTCCTTGATTCTTTCATATTTTTTCTATCTTCTATTTTGCAGAAATTTCACTGTGTATAACATTATCAAACTGAACCCAAGATATACCATTGTAATATCTAGGTTTCCATGCAACATATACAATTTACCATTTCCTTTTTCCAATTCTGAAATATTTACTATGATAAATGCAACCCAGTTATTTTTCCTAAAGTGTCTNTAATATCTAGGTTTCCATGCAACATATACAATTTACCATTTCCTTTTTCCAATTCTGAAATATTTACTATGATAAATGCAACCCAGTTATTTTTCCTAAAGTGTCTTGTTTTCTTTTTGTTATGCTGTTGAATATATATGTTTTACCAAAAAAATAATTTACTGGCAATAGCTTTTTCAATAGGTCTTGAGAGATTCTTCATCAATGCATGTTTAGCATAAATAGAAGACTTGATAATAATAATACAGGAGAATGATGGGAGAAATTAAAAAGGCTTAAAATACTTGTTTCAATTAAGTAACAATACATCTGAAAATTCCTGTAATTCTTAACCCCTCCCCCCTAAAATATGACAATGAATGAGTGACTTACTGACTTCAGGACAGACTGTTTGAATGAACAAATGGATAAGCGAGCGAGTGAGAGATTTTTTATCAACACATGTTTAGCATAAATAGAAGACTTGATAATTGTACCAGGTGAATGATGGTGGTATTTAAAATGGTTTAAAATGCTTTTCTCAATAAAGTAACAATACCTTGACAGAACGCGTTCTATTTCCATTCCACAAGCGTTCTCGTTCCCGTTCCGTATCTGCTCCATATCTGTTCCATATCCGTTCCGTATCCATTCCATATCCATTCTTTATCCGTTCTGTTCTGTTCCCATTCTGTTAGCGTTCCATCAGTAAGCATTCTTGGAACTCATTCAGAAGAACAAGGTTTCTGAGAACTTGTTTACAAGATTAGCGACACTCATTTTCAATTCATGAAATAGGTTAAAAATGTCGCCTTATGCGAGAATACGAAAAGTAAACTTAAATTTTCGCAGTGACAATGTGAGTCCAGTTACTCTAAAAATACGGGAAGATGGTATTGTAACTTCAAGGCCAGAAGTCTTTCTCCGAAACGATACAAAGTGACTGGTAGTCTGTGTGATTGCCCGAGGAAAGGAAGAAGCAATCAGCTTGCCAACCACTTTTAACACCATCGATAAAAAAATGCAACCAAACTTTCCGCTCTTGTATTTACACGAATACTTTCAGTGAGATTTAACATTGAAGTATAGTCGAAAACTGTTCGGCGAATGTGGCAGAAACTTGGCTGGAGGACATGAGCATTGCAAAGTACTGACAAGAAGCCAAAGTGAGCATTTTGTGATATTTTTAGCGATGTTGTTTTTACGGGCAAAAACTCAGTTAAGATCAAACATTATCCTCGCTGATCCTTCCGTAAAGTTGGCAAACAACACCATAATAAAGGTCAACCAAGACATAGATGTTTTGTTTTATTTCTTTTCATGTGGAAACCTTTCAATCCCAGTCTAACTTGACTCATCCATCCATTTCCTTATTTGGACATAGCTTGGGTTTGTTGACAATAACAAAATGGCCGCGATGAAGACAAAATGGACAAGAAGATGCAGGGAAGATGCTTGCTTAGTGCATGTAAAAAGAAATAAAACGAGAGGCTCCAAGTAGCCTAAACTCATGCGGGCTCAACTGCAACCGGTTTCGTGTCATGGTGGACGAAAAAATCGTAAGTTTATAGCAATTTTTTTATCTTAACAGTCATTATATTCAATTTTCTTTACATCGAAGAATGTTTTACACTAAAATTGGCCATTCTGTGCAAAAAAATGTGGGGAAAAAATGATGTAAATTTTCGTCGAACTGGCACTTTAAGTATACTGTAACACATAACATGTCTAGTTCCATTTCCATGATGAAGAAGTCATCCCTTCCGCATAGATCGCTTTTTGGGCATAGATACTAATAAAGATAGATTAGCACACTGCTCAAGCGAAGTTGCATTTCCTTAGTCGTTTTTAAAAATTTTGTAAACACAACTAACTTGATTTTGATTGGTTGATGGAAACAATGCAGCTCTTAGGGGGTTTGACAAATATGGTATGACGGGACCCGGGGAGCATTTTGGTGTGGCTGTTGAAAAATGAATACTGACTACCTGTCAGGCTAATTATAGTTAACCAACATACTATGCAAACTGCTTAGATCAATTATTTATTCACCCACTATGGGACTGTGGACCGCATTAGCACTCAGTTTAATACTTAGATCAATTACTTATTCTTCAATAACTGCAAAAATTCTTGCGCACTCATTGGCTAATTTTCATTGTCAATACGCAAACATAAACATGAATTGATAATTATGCAATGTTTGCAATGTTGTTATCGTAAAAAAACGAGTGGACCTCACTTTTTCATATGGCTGTCCTGCTATTGACAATAAATTTCGTCATAATATTGTCAAAGTAGTCTATGGATCCACAGCTGCTTTGACAATGTTATGATGAAATTCATGATCAATAACAGCACAGACGCATGAAACACTGACATCAATTGGTTAATTCATCCACTTCGGGACTGCGGACTGCGGTAGCACTCCAGTTTAATGTTTAGATCAATTAGTTATTGGTAATGAATTTCGTCATAGCATTGTCAAAGTGGTCTGCGGATCCACAGCTACTTTGACGACCTTATGACAAAATTCATGATCAATAACAGGACAGACGCGCGAAAAACTGACGTCAGTTTGTTGACTCGTCCACTTCGGGACTGCGAACCACGGTAACACTCTAGTTTAATACTTAGACCAATTACATATTCATCTGTTCACCACTGTAGCACGTACCCACGGGTTTCTGAGTAAAAGAACGTTCTGAAGGCAAGCTTAAATATCCTCTGCACTATACTTTGAGTAGGTTCGCGAAAGACCAGCTGTCCAGCCGCGCTTTATTAACATTGCTTTTATTCCGTGTTAAAAACACTTATAACCCTAACAACACATGCAAACACGATGTCAGAAGCTTACCTCGACATGCAGGACACCACATTTCTCATGAAGCCGCGCGCGTCTTTGACCCGTCTTGCGAACGAGCGCACACCTCACATGCAATGCACACAAATTACAGCCTCAGCTGAAGCTGTATGTTGCTGCAGTCCGCTTGACCTGTGAACCTGAAAGTTACACGTACCATTTAGTCCCATAAATACTGTTGAAAAGCAAAACGAAAGACACAAACTAACTAACCAGCCGCGACCACGCGCTGACTCGAACACCAACACAGCTGAATTGCACGTATCTCGTCAAGTCGCCGCACCTACCACGTGACTCGAACGTCTGTCACTCACGAAATGGGGGCCCAGAAGTGAATCGCAAAAGTGATTTGTGTACACCCGGGACCCCGGGGGAGGGATTCCCATGTAAAAAGGACGGGGGAGCTCGTCGTACCTCATAGGGGTTAAAATAGCGGTTTTGATACTTCTCGGGGTGTTCAGCCTCAAAAGCTCCACAGCGAGAGCTTTTGCAGTACATCTACATCTGGACATCACATCGGCTATTACCTTTTAGGGCATTAAGCCGAAAAAAACTAGTGAGACAATCTCAGATAGTGCAGAGTGCAATTTACGGCTCAGATACAGTAGTCACACAGGTCTTGACCCATGCCGTTCTCTTCCTTGGTGGTCAACTAGGCCTTTTCCCCTTGCAGAGTATGAGAGGACAAAAACTTGATAAAACAATCTTAGCAGTGTGTATGTTTCATGTTTGTATTTTCTTTCAAGGCCCAAAAATAACTTACAATTGCCGTTTGTCAAGACGGCTTTGATTTTTATTGTGGTGTTTTACGCTGAGTTTCAGTCATTTTAAATTCAACAATACGCAGAAGTGGTAAATGTGACAATTTTACTTTTCACGCCAACGTTTGTAACTTGTTACTTTTGTTTTCCTCGCCAAGGTATGCCACGAGATACCCATATGAGAAAGATGTGTATTTTTTACTAACTGCTGGAGATAAATGGAATACAGTTAAGCATAAGAAAATAATCGAAGACGAACGATTTTGCTTTATTTAATTTCACCGATAAGATCTAATCTAATTATCAAATAGTCACGTCGAGTCACGGAATAGTGCGTTCTTATTTACGTCAAACTAATACATAATGCTATTGATTGATACAACTGAGGAGCGTTTCAACGAGAAGTATTGAAAGTAGCGATCGTTACTTGGCCGAAATTATATCCTACGTCGGTGGCCGAGTCACCTCAAAGACTGATGGAATTAATTGACGGTTTCAGTGAGTGCCATGCAGTCCACGGCGATAATTTTTTGCGAAAAAATATGTATAGTTTTGTCGTGTTTTCAAAAAAAACAACGTACGATACGTTTTGCCTACCCTTCCCGCAAGGCCAATTGATTAATTGAAATTAATTAATTAAACGAACATTAAAGTTTACACCTTATGGCGTTAGCACTTAGCGAACAGCAACCCCCATAAACCATCCCAATAGTGCACTCTGCACTAAAAATGACGGGAGAAATGTTTTGTTTTAGAATTCATACCTCGTAGGAGTGAAAAAATAAAACCAGCCACGCCCACAAAACAGGATCTTGGTACCTTTTANCAGCAAACATGGGTGGTGTAGATCGCGCTGATCAGTTTCGATCTTATTACACTGTTGGAAGACAGTCGCGAAAGTGGTACCGATACATCTTTTGGTTCCTCTTCAATGTTGCTGCTTGCAATGGATATGTTCTGGAATGCGAACACCGAAGAAGAAACCGTCAGCGAAAACGACCACAAGCCGCTTTTCGGTTGGAGTTAGGAAAGCGCTTGATAAACAACTACTCGTATAGAAAGCGACCAGCCAACCAAGTGCCTGTCCAAGAGCCAAGACAAGACCACCAATTGGTTCAAATGGAAGGCAGAAAGAAAGACTGTGTACAGTGCAAATCTGCTGGCTGAAAAACCCCAAAAGGCTATCCAGTGGAGACGAAAAATAAGTGCCAACAGTGTGGTGTTGCATTATGTAAAGTGCGGTGCTTCGTCGAGCATCACAGTGAAGATGCTTGAACATTGAAATTCATTTTATAATTTGCTATTTCTGATATATTGACTAAGCAAAACATTTAGAACAGGAACTGAATAAGCCATTTATTTTCTCTCCATTATACATTTAGAAGTGATAAACTTGTCATTTGGCCTTTTGACCCAGGAGAAGCTTGGAACTCAGACCGCGGTAATGGCCGTAAATTCAAATTTTTTAATGAACATGAAGTTTCGAGCGACTGTACTTCAACAGCTTTTTATGTGTGTGTATTTTCAGCTTTCCATAAAGAAGAACAATGTTTCCACAATAATTTCCACTATACAGTTCTGTCTATAAGGGCCCCAAATTCTACTGAGCATGCATGTTTTAGATTTTGATGAATATTTTGTGTGACAACTCCAATTAGCTCCAGGAATAATAGGCATTCAGGCCCATAAGGCCCGCAGGAGTGAAAGGGTTAAACTGAACCTAAGATATACCACTGTAACATCTAGGTTTCCATGCAACATATACAATTTACCATTTCCTTTTTCCAATTCTGAAATATTTACTATCATAAATGCAACCCAGTTATGCTTCCTAAATGTCTTGTTTTCTTTTTGTTATGCTGTTGAATATATATGTTTTACCAAAAAAAATAATTTACTGGCAATAGCTGTTTCAATAGGTCTTGAGAGATTCTTCATCAATGCATGTTTAGCATAAATAGAAGACTTGATAATAATAATACAGGTGAATGATGGGAGTAATTAAAAAGGCTTAAAATACTTGTTTCAATTAAGTATCAATACATCTGAAAATTCCTGTAATTCTCACCCCCTCCCCCCTAAAATATGACAATGAATGAGTGACTTACTGACTTCAGGACTGACTGTTTGAATTAACAAATGGATAAGCGAGTGAGCAAGAGATTTTTTATCGTTACATGTTTAGCATAAATAGAAGACTTGATAATTGTACCAGGTGAACAATGGTGGTATTTAAAATGGTTTAAAATGCTTTTCTCAATAAAGTAACAATACAGTACCAATCAGAAGAAACCTAACAGGGAACACCTTGACAGAACATGTTCTGTTTCCATTCCACAAGCGTTCTCGTTCCCGTTCCGTATCCACTCCATATCTGTTCCATATCTGTTCCGCATCCATTCCATATCCATTCTTTATCCGTTCTGTTCTTTTCTGTTCCCATTCTGTTAGCGTTCCATCAGTAAGCATTCTTGGAACTCATTCAGAAGAACAAGGTTTCCGAGAACTTGTTTACAAGATTAGCGACACTCATTTTCAATTCATGAAATAGGTTAAAAATGTCACCTTATGCGAGAATACGAAAAGTAAACTTAAATTTTCCCGGTGACAATGTGAGTCCAGTTACTCTAAAAATACGGGAAGATGGTATTGTAACTTGAAGGCCAGAAGTCTTTCTCCGAAACGATACAAAGTAACTGGTAGTCTGTGTGATTGCCTGAGGAAAGGAAGAAGCAATCAGCTTGCCAAGCACTTTTAACGCCATCGATAAAAAAATGCAACCAAACTTTCGGCTCTTGTTTTTACACGAATACTTTCAGTGAGATTTTACACTGAAGTATAGTCGAAAACTGTTCAGCGAATGTGGCAGAAACTTGGCTGGAGGACGTGAGCATTGCAAAGTAGTGACAAAAAGCCAAAGTGAGCATTTAGTGATATTTTTAGCAATGTTGTTTTTACGGGCAAAAACTCAGTTAAGATCGAACATTATCCTCGCTGATCCTTCTGTAAAGTTGGCAAACAACACCATAATAAAGGTCAACCAAGACATAGATGTTTTGTTTTATTTCTTTTCATGTGTAAACCTTTCAATCCCAGTCTAACTTTACTCATCCATCCATTTCCTTATCTGGACATAGCTTGGGTTTGTTGACAATAACAAAATGGCCGCGATGAATACAAAATGGACAAGAAGATGCAGGGAAGATGCTTACTTAGTGCATGTAAAAAGAAATAAAATGAGAGGCTCCAAGTAGCCTATACTCATGTAGGCTCAACTGCAACCGGTTTCGTGCAATGGCGGACAAAAAAATCTTAAGTTTATAGCAATTTTTTTTTTATCTTAACAGTCATTATATTCAATTTTCTTTACATCGGAGAATGTTTTACACTAAAATTGGCTATTCTGTGCAAAAAATGTGGGGAAAAAATGATGTAAATTTTCGTCGAACTGGGACTTTAAGTATACTGTAACACATAACATGTCTAGTTCCATTTCCATGATGAAGTCATCCCTTCCGCATAGGTCGCTTTTTGGGCATAGATACAAATAAAGATAGATTAGCACACTGCTCAACTGCTGCTCACACTTAGCCGTTTTTAAAAATTTTGTAAACACAACTAACTTGATTTTGATTGGTTGATGGAAACAATGCAGCTCTTAGGGGGTTTGACAAATAAGGCATGAGGGGACCCGGGGAGCATTTTCGTTTGGCTGTTGAAAAATGAATGCTGACTACCCGTCAGGCTAATTATAGTTAACCAACATACTATGCGAACTGCTTACATCAATTACTTATTCACCCACTATGGGACTGTGGACTGCATTAGCACTCAGTTTAATACTTAGATCAATTACTTATTCTTCGATAACTGCAAAAATTCTTGCATACTCATTGGCTAATTTTCATTGTCAATACGCAGACATAAATATGAATTGATAATTATGCGATGTTGTTATCGTAAAAAAACGAATTGACCTCACTTTTTCATATGGCTGTCCTGCTATTGACAATAAATTTCGTCATAATATTGTCAAAGTAGTCTATGGATCCACAGCTGCTTTGACAATGTTATGATGAAATTCATGATCAATAACAGCACAGACGCATGAAACACTGACATCAATTGGTTAATTCATCCACTTCGGGACTGCGGACTGCGGTAGCACTCCAGTTTAATGTTTAGATCAATTAGTTATTGGTAATGAATTTCGTCATAGCATTGTCAAAGTGGTCTGCGGATCCACAGCTACTTTGACGACCTTATGACAAAATTCATGATCAATAACAGGACAGACGCGCGAAAAACTGACGTCAGTTTGTTGACTCGTCCACTTCGGGACTGCGAACCACGGTAGCACTCTAGTTTAATACTTAGACCAATTACATATTCATCTGTTCACCACTGTAGCACGTACCCACGGGTTTCTGAGTAAAAGAACGTTCTGAAGGCAAGCTTAAATATCCTCTGCACTATACTTTGAGTAGGTTCGCGAAAGACCAGCTGTCCAGCCGCGCTTTATTAACATTGCTTTTATTCCGTGTTAAAAACACTTATAACCCTAACAACACATGCAAACACGATGTCAGAAGCTTACCTCGACATGCAGGACACCACATTTCTCATGAAGCCGCGCGCGTCTTTGACCCGTCTTGCGAACGAGCGCACACCTCACATGCAATGCACACAAATTACAGCCTCAGCTGAAGCTGTATGTTGCTGCAGTCCGCTTGACCTGTGAACCTGAAAGTTACACGTACCATTTAGTCCCATAAATACTGTTGAAAAGCAAAACGAAAGACACAAACTAACTAACCAGCCGCGACCACGCGCTGACTCGAACACCAACACAGCTGAATTGCACGTATCTCGTCAAGTCGCCGCACCTACCACGTGACTCGAACGTCTGTCACTCACGAAATGGGGGCCCAGAAGTGAATCGCAAAAGTGATTTGTGTACACCCGGGACCCCGGGGGAGGGATTCCCATGTAAAAAGGACGGGGGAGCTCGTCGTACCTCATAGGGGTTAAAATAGCGGTTTTGATACTTCTCGGGGTGTTCAGCCTCAAAAGCTCCACAGCGAGAGCTTTTGCAGTACATCTACATCTGGACATCACATCGGCTATTACCTTTTAGGGCATTAAGCCGAAAAAAACTAGTGAGACAATCTCAGATAGTGCAGAGTGCAATTTACGGCTCAGATACAGTAGTCACACAGGTCTTGACCCATGCCGTTCTCTTCCTTGGTGGTCAACTAGGCCTTTTCCCCTTGCAGAGTATGAGAGGACAAAAACTTGATAAAACAATCTTAGCAGTGTGTATGTTTCATGTTTGTATTTTCTTTCAAGGCCCAAAAATAACTTACAATTGCCGTTTGTCAAGACGGCTTTGATTTTTATTGTGGTGTTTTACGCTGAGTTTCAGTCATTTTAAATTCAACAATACGCAGAAGTGGTAAATGTGACAATTTTACTTTTCACGCCAACGTTTGTAACTTGTTACTTTTGTTTTCCTCGCCAAGGTATGCCACGAGATACCCATATGAGAAAGATGTGTATTTTTTACTAACTGCTGGAGATAAATGGAATACAGTTAAGCATCAGAAAATAATCGAAGACGAACGATTTTGCTTTATTTAATTTCACCGATAAGATCTAATCTAATTATCAAATAGTCACGTCGAGTCACGGAATAGTGCGTTCTTATTTACGTCAAACTAATACATAATGCTATTGATTGATACAACTGAGGAGCGTTTCAACGAGAAGTATTGAAAGTAGCGATCGTTACTTGGCCGAAATTATATCCTACGTCGGTGGCCGAGTCACCTCAAAGACTGATGGAATTAATTGACGGTTTCAGTGAGTGCCATGCAGTCCACGGCGATAATTTTTTGCGAAAAAATATGTATAGTTTTGTCGTGTTTTCAAAAAAAACAACGTACGATACGTTTTGCCTACCCTTCCCGCAAGGCCAATTGATTAATTGAAATTAATTAATTAAACGAACATTAAAGTTTACACCTTATGGCGTTAGCACTTAGCGAACAGCAACCCCCATAAACCATCCCAATAGTGCACTCTGCACTAAAAATGACGGGAGAAATGTTTTGTTTTAGAATTCATACCTCGTAGGAGTGAAAAAATAAAACCAGCCACGCCCACAAAACAGGATCTTGGTACCTTTTAAGGGTTCTTTTCAAAATGTCCCCTTCGGGCCCGAGACCTGACAAACTCTATTTGGCTTATGTTCCTGTCTGATGTTATTTTCTGTACAAGTCTGTGTCAGAGGGAACAAATTATGCAGCTAGACACAGTCGAGCGTAGACAATAAAGACTTTTGGCGCAGGACAGCCCCAGGAGGACAGAGGCCATTGTTAGTTTCCCAATACGGGGGAGGGGGTGGAAGAAATTTTTGGGTAATCAATGTATTCTTGATGGTTTTAAATCTCTGGGTTAACGTCGTTTGTGATGTTTTGATCTAGAATGATCATCGATTGGTTAAGTCGAAAAGAAACCTGATGAAAGACCCATGAAAGCTACTACTTCTTACTTATTTATCCTCGTAATGCCCCACAGGAGGCCAAAGGCACGGTCAGCTACACGTCATTTTGTGAAGACATGTCTGCAAGGCTTTTAAATGCCATTAACACTAACTTTAAATAAACAACTTATCGGCTACAGTCCACAGTAAGCTGTCTCAACACTCGAAAGTTCGCAATATTTGCACAACACTAGAAAGAAAGCACATGGACGAACATGGAGATGACGTCATTCGTCCCTAAGGAAAAAAAAAAGGGGGGGAGGGGGGGGGGGGGCAAATTGGTGTCCATAGAAAGATACATACAGGAAAACTCGATTTTCCACCATTACCCGATTAGAACTACGTTCTGTCAAACGCAATAACAAATTTCGAGATTTAGTCTGGCGAATTTCTTTTGAGCGAAAAAAGTCAGTAGCAAGTTGTAAAAACTGCAGGAAACCTCAAGAAGGAAGCCATTAAAGCGCACGTAACTGACGTGCGAATCCAGTTATAGGTGGACACCCACGTCATCGCATACCGATTACGTGACAAATAGGCCCGGGGAGAACCAATTACGATCGAGAATGTTATTATAGATAGGATAAAGAAAGTAATCAAACTTAGACGAGCGCGCAGTCCGATTTCAAATTACTCTCTGAATTGTACAACGGGAGGTCCAATTGCTAATTGATCAGGTTAGATTAGTCTAACTCTTTTAAGAACTCTTTTTGATTGAAAAAGTCAGTAATGTTTTCCGTAAGTTTGAAAATTGCGGGGAAATTTCAGAAAGCGCACGTAATTGACGTGCAAATGGCGTAGGTATCGAGTTACAAAAAGTTGTAATCGGATACCCACGTGATCGCGCGCCGAAAACGTGCCAAATAGGCGCGGGGAGAACCAATCACGATCGAGAACTTTGTTTTAGGTACGATTAAATTCAGAATCATAACGAGAAGCAAACAAGACTTTTCACTTCTTTATTTATAGTTATCAGTTAGGCGACTGGGTACAACAGTTCAAACGAAGTTCAAGATATTACTAAAGGGCAAACTGCATTGACTGATGAGTTCTTAGCACCTGACCCATGTGATCAGGTTTGAAATTCTCCTTCAACTATCAATACCAAGAAAGCAAACAGGTGATAAGAATACAACAATTCATCATAATTTGGAAATTATTTTGAGACATCGTCAAACTCTCTCAACTTATACCACAAGCAAGATTAGAAACCGGTTAGGAGAATCTGTGTTCACATCAGGGTTAAAAGGCGAGGGAAAACACAAAGGTCTTGAAAAACACTTAACATTCTGCTATATACAAACTGGCCTGGGCTTGGCAAGCTTTCTACTTTAGTTACTTTAAAAACTTAAATTATTGAGCACAAGAGCGGCAGCATTTGGTGAAGATCAGTGAGGTTCTTTCGTTAATCGCATACAACTCGGGTTACAGGAAGTATGACAGTTCTGATCGAGAGAAATGGTTCTTCTCATCACTGGGTGCTGTGGGGTATGCTGCAACCAACGCATCCTGAAACAAGACCAATAAAGACAGTAAGAATAAAATTTCTTTTCAATATATCAATACAAAACTGGACAGTATGTTATGAAATTTGACGGACTGAAACGATCTAGTTTGTTCAGGCTGTCACTTCCTGTCAAACCATCAGATCGTCGAGAGTGCAAGCAAATAGACTATTTTCACGCTCACGGCATTTGACTGGATCTTGCTTACAATGGGGGAGTCTTTTCAAAGGTAAACAACATTTACCTATGTTTTCCCCGTAGGGGACTGAAGGGGCGCGGAGTTGGGGTGGGTAAAGAAAAGATATATGAGTTGTCGACCAAGTGTGCAGTCAAGATGGCTGGTTATTGACCACGTTCTTTTTTTTGCGTGTTTATGAACCGAGACGGAGAGGGGAGTTGGGGGGCGGGGAATACTTGATCATGGGCTATGAAGATTTTACGATAAGTCCGTATGGTCTTTTTACGATAATTGTTTGTTAATCTTAAATTCTCAAGTAGCACAGAAGAGCGAAATAACATGGCACACGTCTAAAGTGAATTCTTAGTTTCTAGCCCTGATCGTAGGTGAATTACATTCTCCTGGCTTTAACATTCAACCCGTCAAACAGAGGACCCTCAAACCAAATTTCGAGGTAGTTTTACCTGAGATCCAATATACAAGCTGTTGTAAATCTTCCAGTAGACATCTCGGACTTTCCGTGCCGGGTGAAACATTCCCTGGAAGAAAAAAAAAGTTCCTCAAATATGAGACTTGGTGAATAGTAGTTAATTGTGTATTAACTTGTTACAACTTGGATAAAAGATAAGATAAGATAAGATAAGATAAGATAAGATAAGATAAGATAAGATAAGATAAGATAAGATAAGATAAGATAAGATAAGATAAGATAAGATAAGAACTTTGTTAACGTGTCGAAGTCGCTAGCATACAACCTATACTAATTGGGGACACCTAACTACGATTACTTATCTAATAATTAATAAAATGTGAAGTGCATGTACGTAGGTAAGTGTTTTAAAATATATATATAAAACAAACAATGAATCATGCAGTAAGATCAAGTGTTAGTTGTTACATGAAGAACAGTCTCTTCAAATACTGTCCAGCAGGCTTATGAAATCAACCAATTTGATGCGCTTTTTAAAAGTGTACAATGATTCAGAAGATCGAATAGATTTGTTGAGTTTGGACGAAATGACAGGGCCTAAATAAGTCAGGCTATGTTTGACACCAAAGTACGTGCCTATAGAACTACATGTATAATCATGGGGAAAAGAACCCAGCGGATCAAAGACATGCCCACATATTGTTCCAACCACTCTTATAAAATGTGTGTAGGAAGTCACAAGGACAACTTGCATAATGAACAACAATTGCACAGCTTCTCACCTGTAAGCAATAATGGAGTACTTTAGAAGGACCTAAAGCCACTCTCATTCCCTCAATAGACTCCATAACGGCATTAACAACATGAGGTGAGGTCTCAAAGATGTTGGGCCACACATAGTTGATAAGGTGAGTGAGGGCGTCTTCACAGCCAAACCCTGACACACCCAGGGCCATGTGTTTTATAGCTGCACAGGCTGTCTGCCGATGAACCAAATCCCTACAGGAGATAAGATATGCAAACATTGAGAATCCAGCCCTGCGGTAGAAAATGCATCCGATTTTCATGATTGAATTCGTTGGTACTTTTAAGACCTATCCCTTATATCTTGTGATACACTCTTACAGATGTACCCTTTGACAGCATGCGAATATCTTTATGGATACACTATAATAAAAATAAATTTGTGCTCTTCACTAAGTCAACTACAATCTTGGTCAGAATAAAATAAGAAATAAAACAACCCCTTCCCCGAATCAACGATGAACTGGCGCTAAAACCAAAACGTGCCATTGTTTTCATCATTGAAATGGGGGGAGGGGTGGTCTTAATTTTTCCACGTGGTGAGCAGAAAACACACTTTACCCAGCCGTTGCTTCTGTCTCGTGTATGTAATAAAAAGTTAACTCATTCTCTAACCTGTCCATGAGAGCGTCCTCTAACAGAGGCGTGACAGCGTAGATGTAATCTTTGCCCATTTCTCCAATGTATTCAAACAAGAACGAGAGAGACTTCAGGACACCATTCTGCACGTTCAGCTCGGGTACACGGTACTCGTTCATGAGGGCAGGGAGAACAGTAAAGGGAGAACATGTTTCGGCGACGATGGCAATAGCCACAGTGGTGCAAACTCTGTTTTGACGCTCCTGTACTTTAAGGTTGTTAAGCAGAGTGGCGAGTACGTCCTGGGGACTAGACAACATTAAAACTACGTCAAAACAATATTACTGCGGTGTCTCGTTGGTATTTGCATTAGCTCAAGTATCAGTGCGGTCAACCAAGCCTCTACACACGGAGATATTTTAATCCCCGTTGAAGAGACATCCAACATTTGACCGTCTAAAATTCTACACAAACGACATAACGTCACAGAGATCCGCAGAGCACCTCTGATGGGTTTTCGTTCGGTGCAGAATTTCCAAGCACTGGTCTTCGAACTTTACCTTTCATGTAAAAAATTCTACTCAAGTTAACAATTACATTACGAACAGGGGATTTGATACCGCCGAATCAACTGTCACTTGAACTGTCGTTTGAAACTTGCAGCTGTATATGTGCACTCATCAATTCATTTAACAATATTATTGCATTGCATTATAGCATTGTAAGTCATTGAGAGTTTGTAACCGCGTAGGGCCGAGGTGAGTTAAATAAACTATCTTGTCTATCTTATTCCAAGCTCATTTGGTACTTGATTAATGCTATGACATCGCTAGAAGCAATCCTTCATAGGCAAAGTCTTCAAATGCAAAGAGCCAGCAGTTTTCTGTTTAAAACTTACCCAATAGCTTTGGCTATGTAACCAAACGTGTTGACAGTAGCTCTTCTGATGGCTTTCTTGTGTGCTTTCAGCAGCTCAAGTAGCTCAAAGCAAATTCTCATCCACTCACGAGCACCGACATGTTCAGCTCCTCTGTCTGCGATCCTACCCACAAGGTCAATGCAGTTCTCCTGTACCTTCTCATGTCTGAAAGCAAACAGCTTACCATTAGCTTGGTAGGTGAGACTGTTTAATTGTAACCTGATCATGGGGTTACTCAACAAAGAAACATTAGTTATCGAAAACTCTCAATGTACTACCCTTCCTAGTAAAACTAAATACAGTAACCAAGGTTTGTTCAGTAAACTGCTAATGAGAGCACAGACGTGACGAGTTGATGTTGGCAGGACTTAATATTGAATGATCAATATTCTAGTGTGATTTGGTAAAATGTTTGTGACAGGGCAACAAGAAACACAATCACGATGTGAAAATGACGTCATGATACATGGAGTTCACAACCATCATTTTAAGATGCTTGAGCTGTATTTCCAGCTATACTGGTCAATGAAAAATATAAACAGCACAACAAATTCCAATAAATGCTAAGAATCACACCTGTTCTTGAGAATGGGTGTTAGTCTTGGAAGCAAATCTTTGATGGGTGGAGTCATTTTGTTCATTCCAATAACATTAACAATTGCCTGCAAACAAATCAGACATACAAACTTATCACTCAGAAACTAATCAAATTAACCAATTTCTTCAATTTCTACTACATTGTATGAAATTTAACAGCAGTATGATCAGTTATAACCCTACAATTGCTTCAGATTCCACACTACTTTGTTTGCTGTTTATCGTTCAACATACCTTAAGGGCTCCGAGGATACTGCCCAGTACTTCTGGGTACTCTTCTCCCAGGTACTCATACAACACCACGCCCAAGTGACCCATAAGCTTCTCCTATTAACAAAAACAAGAACTTAAGTCGGTGTCTCTTACTGAACACAAAACTGCTCACTTAACATTCGTTGGAAACTCATTACAAGAACTTGCATTCCCTCACTACGAAAAATAGTCTATTCTTGACATAATTTGCATTCAGGATTCAAAAAAAGCGATTGAATTTGAAAGCTGCTACAAACACCTCACAAACCCCCAAAAGGATGCTATAGGCCAAATGGACAACAGAGACCAAGCAAAGGTGAGTATATTTTCTTTATTTTATACAAAAGAAGGCAACATTTTACTTCGTTGCGCATCTAATCCCTTGTCATTTTGAACTCCATACAATGCCTTATAGAGTGCTCAAATTCTCAACGGCCTGAAGTGTAACACAACACTGAGTACTTTAGGTAGTCAGGTCCCGCTCAATCTGCTAACATCAATCATTAATGTTCAATCAAGTTCTCGCGGTCACCCAAGACCAAATGTTGGTCGTCTGAGGTGACCAGGCGTTGCTAGAGCACAGCCTTGCTTAAGATAACTTTGTTCATGCGCTAACTCACCTCTCCACAAGTCATCATGACCTGTGCAATCCTGGATATCAGATCAGCAGCCTGCTGTCTGACCTTGGCTGACTTGTTGTTCAATCTCCACAGGATAGTACCACAGATCTGTGGTAAATATGGCTTCACTCGCTTACCCAGGGCATTGACCACTGTACCAAAACCATTCAGCATAACAATGTCCTATGTAAAATGAAGTATAACAAACCAAGAGTAAGCTTAACAGTCTTATAAGGGTTATTCTTGCAAAAGAACAGAATAACAATTAGGGTTAGAGACGTTTCAGTTCAGCTTGGAAAAGGTAGGTAAAGCATTGCAATAGTTCAATAAGACCCAAATGAGTCACCAACACACCACCAACGCATCTTGAATGTTTTAAGGATAAACAGTGGCCAATGCATCGGCGGACTGTCCACCGAGACGTCGGCTGACTGTAGGCTGACGTGTTGGTGGGATTGGATTCTTTATCCCGAGCACATTTTCTGTGATGCTGTTGAGTTATAGAAACATTATTGGAAGTTTAGGAGAGTAAGAAATAGTGTGGGAACACTCAGCACAAACCCAAGATGGGAGGCTTAACTCCTTTTATGAGGAGGTAACCTTCCAAGAGGTTCTATTAATGGAACTGGCTTCAGCTATATCTACTACTTTCTCATTGGATCAGCAATGCTTACTATCCTAGCTAGGTACTAAAATAACCAACAACAGTTTTCCAGTGGGTTGAGACAACGTGTACCTCCTGTGTCTGTTCCTGGAAGGCATACAGGATGCCATCAATAAGCTGTTCCTCCAGGCGGGAATCAACGTCAGATGAACCAAGGTTTCCCATGGTCTGCAACACAAAAACATTTACTGTTAGAGGGACCATGAACAAGGGGGAAAAACACAAACAAGATTCTAACAGGTTATGAACTTACCTTTTCAATTGTTTCCATGACCATTTTTCTGTACTGTTCATTTTCATCTTTCAGATCATCCACTATTCTGTTGATAATCTCTGATGCACCCACTTTGTTTGCCAATTCCACGGTTGTATCAACAAGCTGTCAAATGCATGAAATAAATGTAACAACACTGACCAAATTATCAAATGAAATACAAAGAAGACCGTGGCATTAACCAGTTGAAAGGTTAAAACTCAAATCATCAAAAAGAGCTTAATTAGTTAAAAAGACATCTGCAAAAAAAAAAAATAAGAACACACAGACAATCCCAATCAAACTCCAAGCAATTACATGTGGGGTTTCATTTTGGGCTGGGCACCAGGTAAATTGACCATCTGTGAGGATGATTTTGCCTGCCTGGTTTGACCAGGAAAGGTTTTCTTACAAAGAAGTTCAGTTCAAAATGTTCTGCCCTCCTTGTGAAAATGTTTATGAAACCCCTGATGCATGCAAGTGAGTGACAACCCATTTTGGTTTAACTTTGACCCAATGCCAAAGTAGCATGCTTTTTTTAAAGCCAATTATGTAGCATAGTAATGCTAGACCAATGCAAATGCAAACTACTTATGAGACACAATGCCAAAACAAAGGCAGACTACAAGCAAATATTGACAATGCTAACCTGTCTGTAATTTCTTCTGTCCAGTGCCATCCTATGCTGCCAGAAATGCTTGAAGAAATCTGGTAAAATTTCATCTTTAATGTACTGAGGCTCTACACCATCTGTTCCACAACACTGCTTCACTACCTGCAAACCAAACAAGTCACAGTCAAACAACAATCAATTTTAAAACCTCATACGCTTGAGTGAAAAAGCACTATCCTTTGTTGATTTTTACACAATGTATGGAACACCGTGTTTTGTAGCATATAAACAGGTATTTCCCAAGCCATTGTAAGATAGGAAGAATAAAAACATTTTCTAGTCTTAACATGACGTGTTCTTAAAAGAACACGTCATGTTAAGCAACTTTTTTGATTAAATCTCAAGTGAGCATTCATTGGCTTGATCTGTAGGATCGTAAAGGTTATTACTCCAAGAGCACAAAGGGCACTGTTAACCAACTTAACTGTACACTTAAGCTGGAGAGAAATGTTTCAGTAATAAATATATTATTAAGGTCTAAAATTTGTCTTCCAGTGGTTGGAAAATGCTGCGCATTTTTGTTTCACAAAAATTTCAATTATCAGTTTACAAGAACTCAAAAACCAAGGATCGAGAGCCTTCTTGTTACCTTCAACACAATCTTCTTCATTTCTTCGTCAGGACTCTGAAATTCACGGATCAAGATCAACATCACTTCCCTGGTGTAGTAGTTGGCATACTCAGCATCCATGAGGGGAATGAGGTAACCAATGGCCTTTAAAAAGGCAGCAAGACCCTGGAATAAAACACTTGACATTAGCAAAAAAAGCCATTTTTCATACCTCTTACCGTTTATGTCACAAGCCACCAAAAACCATAGACCAGGAAGGATGAAATATAACTAACTACAAGTACAGTCGAACCTCCAGTGGCAACCACCTCTCCTCAGTGACCAGTTTTCCAAAATACCAAGAGTTTCCTAGTCAAATCACTATATTTGGAAACTCTTGTAAGTGACCACCTCTTGTAAGCGACCATGACCACTTTTAGAGCTAAAAGTTTGAAATTTTCTTTTGTTTTTAACCTCCCGTGTGGTTGCTTACAGGAGGTTAAGCAACCACTTACTGGCCTCAGGAGTCCTCATGGGCCCAAAGAGGATAAGTAGTAAGTAGTAATAGGCAACCACTTGGCAGATAATAGAGCGACAATTGGACAATAAAGTATTGTAACATAATCGATGGAAATTTCTCAATGAGAAGTACCAGCTTTTCACTTGAATACAACATTTTAAACTGTCAAGAAAAATGCTCATACACTCTACAAGTCTTAAATGGGGAAAAAGTTTCACCCAAAACTCTCGTAGGTGACCACCTCCTGTAAGCGACTAGCTAGGCTTGACATTTTGGGTGGTTGCTTACAGGAGGTTCAACTGTATACGTACATGTAGACTGCTATTTTTGCGTTTTGATGGAAAAACTTAATGCTTTATCCCTCCATTAAAAATTACTAGACACTGAGCATATTCTATTCATCAACCAAGCCAAACAATCCTGGTTTCCAACTACCCTCTATTCACTGATAGAACACATTTCCTGTTCCCCATGTCAAACCTTTAGCAAACCATATCTTGGCAGATATTATCACCCAGGTTTGAGTCTAGGAAAAGCAGAGATCACACACAGTCTATATAGGTAAAGAGACATTTAGTAGATATTCACCTTTCCTCTGTGTTGCCTGATACCTTTCCACAATGGCTTCAAGACACTATCAAACGACTCAATACCATAGGGTGTAGCAGCCTCAGCAAGAGCTGCCAAGGCAAGAGCAGTGATAGTTCGCACCTTCTGCTGCTCATCAACTAAGCCTAGCAAAAGCAAACGACACATATGTCAATGAAGGGCTAGTATGATCTTCACCTGATTGCCTCCAAGTGGAGGTGGTTTACATTCCTAAAATAATGGGAGTAAAAGCCTTATGACTATTCCTCTTATTACCCACAGTGATGATTAGTATATTTTCAAGTGGTAACTATGGCTAGGGTTGTTAATAATTGATAACCTTTCGAGACTTAGTTTGCTAAAATGAACCCTGATTTCAGTCTTTCAAGCAGAAGAATAGGAACCAGAAACTTGATTATGTGGAACAAAGTTGCAGCTTCTTGGCACCAGTCTATGCTACTGCTATTGACCAAACACAAAACAAAGACAAAAGGAAACCTTTGGAACCAGAGTGGAATAGATAGAGCAAAAATGCCACGTCAATTGCAATGTGCAGTACCAGAAAATATTCATACTCCCCCCACAGAAGGGATTGGAATTTCCTGGGAGATTAAAGAAATGTATCAAGCTTAATTGGAATTTTCAGATGTCTTGGAGAAAATCCCTACTGTGGGGGAGGTACATGCATGGTTATTTTCTGGAACTACACAATACAAACTGTTGCACTATAACAGCATTTGATAATGGTGACAAGATGACACCGAAAGTGACAAGTTATGGCATTTATTTTTCTTTTGAACCATCATAAGTAACTTAAATTATTACAGATAGAGAATCATAACATGTAGGATGTTTCCACAAGTTTAAATTAGTAATCTTACCATGTTCAATAATCTCAACCAAGTTCCTCAAGTGAGGTAAGATAGCACATCCCATCAAAATAGCTATCTGCTGAACAATTTTAATACCAGTGTGACGTGCTTGCCACGACTTCTTACTGCGACAGACAGCCTTCAAGAATGGCAGAAGGGATGGAATGCCCAGAGCAGAAGCTACAACAGCAAAGGCTCTGCAAACAACAAATTAATGAAAACAATGAATTTTCTGAACAGCAAAGCGAGCATTCAAATAAGCTGGTAACTGGCATTTTTTACGGTGATAATTAAAGTGGTTTACCTTGCTGTAGTGTTACGGACATACTCATCAATGTTGTCAATGTCAGGCCTCATGGTTGAGATCATTGTTGCCAAACCAGCAGCCTAAAGGAAGTTAAAGTGAAACACTACTTGTAACATCCACAAAACAAAGTAATCTTACCTGACATAGTATCTGGCTTTTTTATCTGTCTTTTTATGGAAAGCTCTTATAATGATTTTACAAAATTGCTTCTCTTTCATTAATTATTTTCTCACTCTGTTGACAAAATTAACTTACTTCTGTAACAACCAAAAAATGACACCTTGGGTTAAGTGTAATCAAAATATAAAATGCGAATTCCACATTAAAAAATATCTTATTTTGAGGTGCAAAAGCAATTACTTTTTTAACTATCCATGCATGATCAAGTATAGAGGACACATGAAGTACAAAAATTATCACCAAAAGGAAATAGGTTCAACATTTATAAAAGTTCCCTACACTGGTATCACAATGAAGATAACAATATCAGTAAGGAGAATTTGTATGCTGACATCTCTCCTACTAACCTTGGCCAAGTTGGAAATAATTTCACGTCCTTCAACTCTTGCATAGTAATCTTCATCAATCAACAGAGGCTCAATAACCACAAGGATCTGGAACAAACACAATACATTTTAATCCTTGCCTCGTACAAGGACAGTGCAGAACAAAGATATGCATCTTACTGCACCTTTCAATAACATATGAACTCTCAAACAATGGTTTTGTTTACTTGCTGCCATCATATCATCTCAGCAGACCTCTCTGGAAACAGAAAATTACTTCAGCAGTTTCAAAAGGTCGCATACGCGGGTTATGATTGATTGATTTAGATCCATTTTGTTGGTTTCTTTTTTTGCAAGGTTTGTTGATTGTTTTCAAATCATGATTGATGGTAGCCAAAAATATTATTGTTAGTTAGGATTTGAACTTCACAGTTTGGATGTTATTGAAAGGCACAGTAATAGAAGAGAAGCAGCAAATTACCTTGTGAACAAATGGCCGAACAAGATCATCCAGTTTGTACAAGATTCTGTCGATGACTTTTACCAACAAATGACGTTCCTAAAGAGAGAAAATTTATGCTTGTTAGTGAGGCTGGAATTACCAAATATATCAATCAACTTAACAGAGTCTACTTTGGTTACAATTTCCAGTTTGCGTGCTTGTGGAAACAAGCATTTTAGACACATGTTTAACACGCACTGTCATATACATATTTAAAAGCTAACGTGTTGTGTTTACATGTATCTAAAGTAATTATTACACTTCTTTCAAATGGTATCCGAAACATGGCAAAAATAAAATCACACAATGCCTTGAAAAGACAAACAATTACTTGGTTGCTCTCATGTAGCATCTCATGAGGTACATTATAGATTGCAAGATTTGCAAAAGGAGTGTAACTTAAATGATACAGTTGGAAAAAAAGTCACCCTTTCTAGGTAAATTTCAGTTGGAAAATAAAGAAATACATTTCAAGTTAATGGAATCTCAGTAGCTTAAATCAGAAGGCGACTTACCTGATCTTCAAGAGTGGGTGACATAAGAAGAGGAAGGATCTGATTAAACAATGGTCCTGCTCCAAACTCACGAGCTTTGTCTGTGATCTGACGCAGGGCAGCTTTTCTCATGGGGGGTGTGCCATTTTTTATCTTCAAAAGGAGTTTCATGATCTTTCTCTCCTTCAGCTCTTCAGGGCTTAATGTGCTCTCATCAACATCAACCTTGGAATACGGACAAACACTGTTAAAGCTACTGTAAGTGTATTAAACCAGTGTACCCCAATGTATATAAGGACACCAGGACCACCAGTTACATCAGATCTTAGATAAACAAAAACTTGGAAATATACAGACGAAAATGTAAGAGTCATGGGTAACTTCACAATCACACAACCAAAATTGTTTTTGTCATAAATACATGGATGCTCTTTTATTGTAACCCCATATAAAACAGTTGTTTTATCCAACCAGCATGCCTTTTTAATTTTTGGATTATCGAGTCTGTAGTGTGTATGTAGTAAATGCTGGGTACAAATAAAAGTTTTGTTGTACACAAAACACAAGTTACACTGTACTAGATGGCGTCAAATCTTCTAAACAACTAAATTGGCATGCGCTAAACTCAAAATCCCAAATGGCCATACTTCTGCTGTAAAAAGCCAGCTGCATATTAAGAAAAGGCCTACACATCAGACTGCTTAAAATTTTGTTCTGTGCACTTAAACTTACCAATAGCTTGTCAAAGTACTGTACATCATCAGGTTTTAAATATGGTAAATTACCGGGAGGTTGATCTTCAACGAGTTTGGCTGATCTGTCTTCTTGCTGCATAAAACAATGAAAAAGAAATGCTTGTCAATGATTAAATTGATCCTACAAGACTATTGAAAATGGAAAAAAAAGAACAAGGTTTTCTGTATCAACAGTTTGATTTAGAACCAAATAACAAAGGATATCAGTTTTAATTCAACTTTCATACACTGTACGAATTCCGATTTTCTGATTGGCTGATTTGTTCCACTTGATACTGGGTTGTGATGAGACAACCACCTTGACGTCATTATCGTGGTGTAATAGCCGTGGTGTAAATTCAGCACACCACTGTCATTACACCATGGCTTTGACTGACTCAAATATAGTGGTTTCAATGCAGTGTTTCTTTGTGCAGTGTATTCAATTTGAATAATAAAAATGTTAATGCACTCATTGCTCGTGAATTATGGGGATTTACCTGTACTCATTCACTAACAATGAACTTGAAACTTTCAATACCGCACGCCGCAAAGCCTTGTGTGGTATTGAAATTTCTCATTCATTGTTAGTGAACTCGTGCAGGTAAATCCCAATAATTCGCTGAGTGCGTTTACCTGTAAATACATCCACTACAGTAAAATGTTTCTTCCTTGAAAATGACAAATAAAATCAGATAGAATGTAAGCAAGTCATACCTGGATGAAGAAGCCACTGCCTCCTATAGGCGTTGGTGTTGCTGTCAGCTTGCGGGAAGGAGTTCTGATGGGCTGATAACCAGGAGGTGGCTCAAGAATCTGCAAATTTACAAATTACAATTTTCCTGTTTACAAAACAAATCAGTATAATGCTGTGGAAGAAATATTTTAACAAAATGCATACTCACCACATCATGTGCTAAACTACATGTAATTAAGCAAAAACTACATATAACGTGTGGAATTTACCCTTTGCTAGGCATTCTCCAGTCCAATGATATAACAAGTGATAAATGTACTTGTTCTGTCATAAGAAAAACAAGCTAAAAACCTATGCAAATGAGTGTGTTGAGTACTACAAGAGGCTATTTAAAAAGGTGCCATTTCATGTAGGATTCATGCATTGCCACTTACAATCAGAACAGTCTCTATTCAAGGGTAAAGTATGGACTTCTAGCTCTCATATTTATTGTTGTACATTATACATTTAGGATGTACTTTGCTGTCATGCCGTGGCAAACATTTTGCCATACTGCATGTTCTTAATCCATGTCATCAAACACACAAATACAAGTCAAGACCAAACCTTGTATCCTTCTTTGGGGAAAAACGAATCCAGCTCATCATCAGAGAGGTATCTGTTTCTTTCATCAATTTCCCTCTCCCAACGATACGCCTGCATCTGTTCTGGTGTCATGGCCATGTGCCCTGGTGTGGGTGTCTGCATCTGCATAGCAGCAGGCCCAGCAGGGGTTACTCCGCTGGTGCCAATCATTGGAGTTGTGCCACCCATTTGACTGGCAGGTGTCTCATCCCATCTGGATCGTCGCTTACTACCTGGAGTGGGTGTGGCTCCTGGTGTTTCTGCACCAGTACGGTCGGTTCTGGGAGTCTCTGCCCAGCCTGGGGTGGCATGCCCTGGGGTCTCACCTTTTAAACAATCAGTTATTAGATGGTTAACTTTGTGATACTGAGTACGGCTCTCTTGTTCTGATGACTTATAGGAGAATCTTTGTTTACAATATTTGTCTCATTACCATTAGCGATACAGTTTCTGATGGAGCTACAAAGAGATTAATACTGAATATTGAAAGGGTACAGCAAGATTAACTGTCCCAAAGAATTTGAGCGTGATGTATTGAATACTTTTTGTGCGACGAGGGTCTAAAAGCTCAAAATTTTACAAAGAATGTATGAGCTCATTAGCACTTTTGCCACACAGAAATTGATGTTTTTGAAAGCCAATTTTTCCTTGAATATTACACCCAAAAAGCCACAAATTTCACCACTTACTAAGTTTCACAAGCTCTTTAAGTAAAATCGTGTCTAGCATGATGCCTTCTATGCACTAAGTCGTATGTTAATGAGGAAAAATGTAAACAATGATGTCAGCAAAGATTTGCCTATAGGGCAAGCAAAATCCTCCCTCATGAAAAGAGCCTTTAGGAAGACAGTCCTGACGATTGATGACACAAACATCTCAAGAAACAATCTACATACAAATCCAATTTCTCCAAAGGCCAACAACACAAACTAAACCAAAGCAGTCAGGAGAATTTAACTAGGAACCATGGAACAAAAATGTTATAAGTTCAGTGAAATGGTCTTCACAGTTTTATTCCATTACCAACAACACAGTCCTGTGAAGTGCTTATGGTTGTGCAACAGACAGACAGAAAACATCTGCACTGAAAAACACAACAAACCTCTCTCAGTCTTTGGTGTCTCATCCCAGCGATTCCGTCTTGTTGATGAAATGCCTAACAAATTAAACATTGACCATTAGACAAAAACTGAAAAACAACCTGGAAAAGCAACTGCTTCCTTTTTTTCAACAGCTTTTGAATATTGTGTATTGTATATCACAATTATTCTAAAGGCAAAAAAGTTTCAAACAACACAAGTGTAATTGTGTGACTATGCATGTAGCCGTACAAGTGTGTGTAATGTAGCCATGTAACATAATATATCTATATGGAGGAGTGTACATGTAAGTGTACAGCAGAAGAAAACAGATGAGATCGTACATGACTGCATTTATAATTTGACAACAGTCAACTTAAAACATTAGACATGAAACAATGTATTCCTGTAGAGTGTATAACAGAAGAGTACTGGTAAGATCAGATGTGACTGGAGTGGTCTAGTTTTGTTCAGCTGATTATTTTCTAAAGAAGCTATTATCCTACATGTATGTTGGTAGGCAAGTAGTAGTAATTCATGTAAATTCTTAGTTGATTCTCAACTTAAATTTGCTAAATAGCGGACAGTTCCCATTTAACAACCTCAAGTTGATACTTGGCTAAACAATTTTGTTCAAGAGTGAGTTCTAAAGATTGTGCTTACTAATATAGAGGTGAAACAAAAGAAGCAACTAACAAATCAAAGTCTAATGATTTCTTTGAAGATCTTGCTAAGAGATTTATCACTAAGTTGACTTCTGAGTAAGCTACAATCTACACCCAAGGGAACATGAATCTAGCTGGACAGATCTTAATTGAAAGATACATGTACTATCACTTTTGTGATAGAGTTAAACTACACACAGCAAAGTGTAAGCACAACAAAGTGCCTTCACCTGGTGTGGTATTACCGCCTGGTGTAGCACTGGGCGTGGCATGTCCAGGGGTCACATGGCTGGGTGTGGACTCCCATATCCTTGTACTTGGGGTTGCCCCAGGAGTCTCTGAACCAGGTCTGTGAGGAGTGACTCCAGGAGTCTCTGAACCTTTTGGACGCCCAGGTGTCTCATCCCATCGACTGGCAGAAGGAGTGGCCATCTGTATGTTACAACGAAACGTCAGAAAACATTATAACATTAAATCAAGGAACACTTTGACCCTCACTACACTAGTGGCCTGAAAAATTGTCAATGTTTGGTGTGAAATACTGGGTTAACTATTTAAGTTTTGTGTGAAAGCACATTTCTTCTGTTAAGCTGTTGGTGAAACCACTAGCGATGAAAATCCTAGTGTTTAATCATCCTATGGTATCTAGTGGGAAATGTGATAAATCTGACGACTCGAAGGGATTGTATTATCCTGTTGTCTGCTATTGTAGCACAGCTTGTATTTGGTTGACAGCAGTGCACATTTTTGCCATGTCTTTATAAACAAGGAGTTTCAAGTCTGCTTGCTGAGGGGTATAACTGGAGGGGGATTGATTTAAGCTCCAAACATGATGTAGTTGTTTACAATTGATCTGCTTCAGTAGATAAAAAGAAATCATAAAGCTGCAAAGCAAATTAATGTTAAAGAATTTCCATTACTTACCTCAGCCTGATCCCAACTAGACTTCTTCTTGGCTGGTGTGTCATCCCCAGAAGCCTGCTGGTCCCATCGACGGCGCTTTCTCTCTGTGAAAACAGTGGTTTAACAAGATCAACTCAGAGAAGGATATCAACCTGGAGGAGGGGGGTACTCCCTTATTAGGGTTATAAAGGTATGTGTGGTCCCAAAGGGCATGGTTCATTAGCCATTCTGTTCATAAATAGGGTATCAGTTTTGGTCAATTTGGTCTCAATTAGTGTATGGTTTTTGCACTCTTGTCTTGATTCAATTAATTTTTTTAAAAGAAACCACTTTTTCATCATTATCAATAACACCGGCAACAAAAGCCCTTCACAATGCCTTCAACATTGGTCTGAACTAGGTAACTAATTATGAGACAGGTCTGAAACAGGGTATTGATTTAAGTGTCAAGTCTTAAATAGGGTATCAAATTTTTGGTCAGGTCATGAAGAGGATAAGAAAAATCACAGATTTGGGTCTTAAATAGGGTNCCCAAAGGGCATGGTTCATTAGCCATTCTGTTCATAAATAGGGTATCAGTTTTGGTCAATTTGGTCTCAAATAGTGTATGGCTTTTGCACTGTTGTCTTGATTCAATTTATTTTTTTAACAGAAACTACTTTTTCATCATTAGCAATAACACTGGCAACAAAAGCCCTTTCCAATGCCTTTAGCATTGGTCTGAACTAGGTAACTAATTATGAGACAGGTCTGAAACAGGGTATTGATCTAAGTGTCAAGTCTTAAATAGGGTATCAAATTTTTGGTCAGGTCATAACAAGCCAGCAAATAACAGTCGGTCATCGCACAATTGTCCGGTAAATTTGAGGTTTTGACAGGTAAAAGCTTAGCCTTGACAGACACTGTGACCGGGCATTTCTGCTAAAGTGAAAAATATTTTCACTGAAAATTTGTGGTCGAATATGGGACAAGTTATTAGTTATACTGCCACACAATACTATGCAAAAAAGCTTTGTTATCGGTTTTGTTTTTATTCCAATTCTGAGAATTTTATCACGCGCACTGCGTTGTCTCAAATGTTACGTCGATTGGTAAACACCGCACATCAGCACCACTATTCCTACGTGTTAATAGGGAGTTTACGAAACCACAACGGCGACGCTGAGGACAACGTCGATTAAAAAATGGATTTATATTTTACCTACAACTCTCACGATACTCTTAAGTCATTTACTTTGTTTATTACTGTCAAAACTATCGCAGAACTAAATCCGGAACACAGCAATAAATTTGAAATAAAAAATTAAAATATTAGCCGTCATGGTTCACATTCTCCAGACAACACAAAATTTGGTAATTTCACGTTGTTGTTTTGCATAGGACGGCAAAGAAATGTACCAAGAATTATAACACACATGCATAGCCATTGTTCTGCTCATTAATTCTTTTGTTCAGTGACGTTCCCGTTGCCGTTGCCATCATGGTTTTGTAAACTCCCTAATTTACGGATTTTGTGGTGACATTGTGAAAGATCGTGAAGAATTACGTTCGTCTGAAAAACTACTAAAAACTGAGGTCTTATGTAATTACTTGTTGCTTGTTACCACCAAGTGTTGTGGAATTAATTTTCAGTTGTTATACATTGACCCGATTAATATATTATGGAAATTGAATACACAGCCCAAATTCTCACGTTTCGTTTATCTGAATGCAATCGCTTTCAAAAACTTTAAAACCTTTAAAACGTAACCAAATGTTTTTCTAGTCCGTTTTATCAAAAATCAGTTTAATTTTTACCTCTTTATAGTGTTTTTACAGCTGTCAGTATAAACGTTTGTAAATTTGTCAATTTTCAACAGGTAAAATAATACCAGATGTAATGTAAAGTCCCCTTGCTGGTGCTAGGAGCGATTTTACACTCATCTTACACTTGCCATGCAAGTATGTCTTGTTCTCAGTTGATAGTGACAAGTTATGGGGAATGATGAGGCATTGTTGAACAATAATTTGTTTGCACACAGTTTGCATTTAATTACTTGTTAAGCTGACTCCGGAGAATCACTCAAGGGTGTACAACATCTTTCAGTAAAAAATTATTTCTTCGAGTGACATGAAATAGCTGCATGCTATATTTTCCTGCCATTCCCTTGTTAACAAGTTTCAAACCTATATCAAACAAGGTAATCTGTTAATAGTTTTTGAAAAGAATCCTCTTTTCCATTCCATCTTTGTGTGGTCTTGACGTTCAAGTCTCTGAATGTTATTGTGAGGTTTTATATTGACAAGCTGTCCATGCAGGAGATTGTTTCATCGCTTTTCCCGTTTTCCTTAGACATCGTGGGAAACTTGTTATGTTGGAAATGCTTGTGTGACTAGGGGTATAAACGTTTGTAAATTTCTCAATTTTCAACAGGTAAAATAATACCAGACATAATGTAAAGTCCCCTTGCTGGTGCTAGTAGCGATTTTACACTCAGTTGACGTTTAAGCTATTCGAATTTGCAACCAATATTTTGGCAAAGAGTCTACACTGAAATATCAAAATGTCTCAAATGTCTCTTTTTAATTACTAACAACAAACAATTTTTTTTGTCCGACCAGACTGGCTTTTTGTCAGGTCAAAACTTATCCTTGTCCTGACAAATGACCGGCCTATAGACAAAATTATTTGCAGGCTTGTCATAAAGAGGGTAAGAAAAATCACAGATTTGGGTCTTAAATAGGGTCAGGGTTTTGGAAAGCGGCACGCACACCCCACCTGATTTTTCTGGGAGTATTCCCCCCACCCAGGGGATATCAACAAACTCGCTTACAAAGTTACATACCACAACTCATTGGGCAAAACTGTGATTATAATTGAAGCCACAAAAAGTTGAGATTTGTCTTTTACATGTATGCCCCACTCTTTACAAAGAAAAAAGGAGTGATATTAGATATATTGGCCAGTAAACGGGGAACAACAAATAGATATCAATCCATTAAGTAAAGAGTATTGAATTAATGAGAGGGTTTAAAATCAAACCTGGCTTTGCTGCAGGTTGAACCTTCTGTAATTCCCCTGATGCTGCTTGGTCCCTGAGATGACGAAAAATTTCTGCCTGGAAATGAAGCAAGCAAACAAATCATTACTTTGTTCTGGCTCACTTCTAACACCCTTGAATTGAAAAGTTCATTGATGGAAAAAAAAATAAGAAGAAAGATACATCTCTCCTTGTTCCTAATTTCATCTGATCACATCACACCCTTGTCTTTGAAATGTGATACTTTGGATAAGTCTGCTATTTTGTAGTATGTCTTTTAAAAGCTTTTAATGATTTGATAGTAGTTTGACAACAAATCCCTTAAAACAGTTTAAAATACATAAAAGATAAATCTGAAATAAGGGTGTACTGGTAAGAATAGACTGACGAGCTAGGATTAAATGGTTTACTGACTTCTATTTTAATATGATGATTTTTTATTTTCAAGCCATAACACACCTGATCTCTATGAAGATCCTGTTCTTGCATAATGTCCTTATAGGTCCTAACATTTTTTAATGAAGATGGATCAGGTGTTTTTCCACCTAGAAAAATAAAAATAAAAAGCAATGACCATATTAGCTCTTTGCAAATTCTCCAATACAACATCGCATGATAACAATTCATTACTACTGCAGCTCAGTAAAAAATTCAAGAAAATCAAGTGCAAAAGTTCTACTTGGTAAATCAGTGCTAAACGATGGTTCACTACAATACCATTTCCTTAAAATATTGTTCAATTTTTCTCCACAGATCGCTAACCAGTCCCTAGATCTCTACATTAGCAGTTCATTTGTAACTACAGTCTTAAGAGACTTTGGGACCGGCAGGCTTCTCTGTTAATACTAAGCTGCCAGTTGTAAAAAGACAAATCACAACCAGACACAAGACACCAACACATGTACAGTTAATCTATTGTCTGGAAAGGTGGCTGCGGCAAGGTAACACCAACCCAGTGGCTAGTCTTGTGATGAGTTGAAGCACTGACTGGCATCATATCCTGGCATGGAGTTAGTTGAGAAAACCAAGCTCTTCTCCTAATAAATAATTCTTCAGAGGTCAGTAATCGACCACTGTGTAGCATGAGTACTGGCTTTTTTATTCTCTATTACCTTACTGTATTCTACTTTTAAACTTCGCAAAAATCAAAATAACATTTTTTGTTTTTATTATAATACAACTAGAGATTTTTCTTCTGTCTGCATATAAATATTCAAGTATGTGAGTGCCTGATTTTAGCCCTTTTGGCCTTAGAAAGGAGCCAGAGACACTTCATTTGTTTTGGACAAATGAAATCAAGACTATCTTTGGAATAACTTAAAAACCAGACAAGACAATTGAAATTCAATGTAATCCACAGTTTTGGCTGATAACACTGTCAAGAAAATAAAATAACTTTGAACTTTATTCTAAATGTTTCAGATCTCCTTTACCTCATTCAAAACCAAAAAGCAGCAGATATACTGAATCCTTCATGAATTACATTAGTTATAATACTACAAAATTTAGATTGTAACTGTGGTAATATATTTTGTTCCCATGTTGGTATACAAAAGGCATTCATCTCATCCATGCAATAGCTACAACCAATACCCAGACTTGTAACAATATTTGTAAATAACCAACAATAGAGTCATTTACTCTTGATTATATTTTGTGCAGTTGATGAGCGAAGTTTCCAGTACTCACCGCTGAATGGAAAAAAGGGGTTCAGGAGTAAGTAAAATGAAGTCAACAGTTCTTACTCTACTTATGTACAAGCTGATTAGAGCAGTTTTTGAATGACTGCAGAAGTTTTAATCAAAATGCACTCAGAGTCCAACAGATCGATAATAAATCATACTAAAACACTGCCATGGGACAAGCATAGGGGATTGCATTTAAACCAAATCTCATCATAACTGGTTTGGTTTTTCACTCAATTAGCTCATGAAATACAGGTAAGATGTTTGTTTCAACAGATAAGATTAAATTGTGTTCACAAATATTCTGAACAAAATACTCTGCTTACCAAGCACAAAGCCACGGCAAATGCATAACACTATTACAGACTCAATCAAAAACTGCTCTAAAAGCCAGTCCATCTATACTATAGTATAAAAACAAGAAAGCCTCTTGCCAGAAACCACATTGAATTTAGAGTCTGCAAAACATTATAAATGTACTTTGCATTATCTTTAGATAAAGCATGAAACAAATGTAAATGTCAATAGACTAAGGATGGTGACTCAAAGTAACAAGTGTTGGTAACAATGTCGCAGCAATTGATGGTAAAAAATGTTGACTACACCAAGTAGCCAAAGTTGCTAATGATGCCATGGAACCAATGTTATTAATTATACTGATCATGTTGGTATAATATTTTGAATCCAAAGAAGCCAGAGTTGGATGTACAACAATTTACTAGTTTCAAAAAGACAATACAACAGTGATTTCTGGCAGTAAGCTTTCTTGCCTTGTCGATTGAACCAAAAATGTTTGAAGAACAAACAAATACTCAGAGAAAAACTTTAAAAAGAGTATCATGAAGATTTTAGAGCAACAATCATTTGGCATGACCAATTTACAGTAAAATGTGAGGATACTGTTAAGAAGTCTGTTCAGGTAAGATAGATGATAAACTCAGTCAAATAATGAAATAAGGCAATTTCAACTGACTAAAAGCTGCCAGACAACTAAATGTTGAAATTTGGTTTGCAAAAGAACTTGGATTTGTTCACAGTATGTTCTATCTTTATTTTAAATGTATACACATTCAAGACAACTTAGCAACAAAATCAAACTTGTTAAGACAAAGTTAGGGTTGCGTGAGAGATTTACTCTCCCGAGCTAAGTTACAATCTTTTCCAGGGTCTGACCAATGTGTTCAACAGAATGATGAATTGGAATACTTATTAACTACGTATTTAATCAATCACAGTAGAAACCATACATACAAAGTACTGTACTACACAAATCAAAAACAGGGATAAGACTTTAAGGGAGAAGGAAGCTGATAACACCTACCATCTGCAAAAGGATCATGTCTGGGGGGTGAAATCACCATCATTCTTCTTCTTGCTCTGTACTCATCTTCCCGCTCAGCAATTGTTGGCTGCTTGTGTTGTGCGAATGGGTCCACCTAAAGAAAATTCCAAACAGAAAAAAGTCTTGACTATTTTATTACATTGCATTACTATGCCTTTCAATAACAAGTGAACTCTGAAGTTCAAAACCTAACTAATGATTGTGTTTCTACATCTGGGTGGAGAGATAAGCTGTGAGCCTTTACACCACAACACTCAGTAATATTGAAGTATACTCACATGCTCTGCTGACTTTGCTATGTCATTCAATAATGCAGTTGGAGCTGTGTAACTGTTTCTTGATGGGTGCATAATAGTGGTAGAGTAGTCATCTTCATCCTGCCATGGTGAAACAATCTCAAATAAGTAACAGCAGTAAACCAGGGCAATGTCAAGGTTACTGAAGTAAATAAGCCAGTNATACGTAAAAATCACGTTGTAGAAACTCGGTTCTACTACAGGTTTTTCCTGTTCAATTGAGAAACAGAGTACGTAGCTGAATAAAGCGAAAATCTTTTGTAAGTTGTAGAGAATGCGAGAGCTCATGCCTACCTTTTCACCGATATCAACCTTGGGCAAATTAGATCTTTGGGCTTGTAACTGTTGAATTTGCTTCTCGATATCTAAAAGAAAAAGTTCGCCGTACATTAAACAATCGCTTAAAACACTAAGGAGACATGAGAGAGTAACATAAAGGATTAAAGAGCCATGTATTACCTTCGTATGTCGTCCGCGGGGCTTTGGCTAAAGCAGCCATCTTGTTTTACGTCTCCACGACGGAATTACCCACAATTCAGCAAAAGTTTGAGAACAAAAATGCCCGGATGAAGGGATATTTTGTGAGTCTTATAAACCGTAGAAGTTGTTCTTATGCGCCCGCAAGATACACATGCTTTCTTCTCTTGGAAAATCGAAAGGATTGGAAATTACGGTTATAGTTTTTATAGATTTTTCGTCAGTTTGCGGCTCAAAGTGACATATCAGAAATAAGAGAGAGCAGCCAGTAGATGGAGCACTACACAAAAGCTAGTAGTCACGCTGCTGAGAGGGAAGAGAAGAAGGAAGTGTATGATATTCATGTCAAGAGTGGAAGCAAGATAAAAAACATCATATCTCAAGCCTACAGACTGCTGAAGGTACGGAATAGAAACTTTGTAAGATGATTTCACTGACTCTCTTCAGTACTGAAGAACTTCATTGAACGAAAAATTCGGGCCATCATAATTTAACCATTGATATAAGCATAGAAATGGCATTGCCTTCAATTACACACTCGCTACCCCTACGTAGACTGAGAGCTGTCTCTTTTCCTAGTATGCAATGCCATTACTAATAATATGCAATGCAAAACCATACTCAATGTTATATATCTGGTCAGACCACCAGGAACTGCTTTGGTTTGCATGGACATTAAGATGGATTCCGCTCAAAGTTTGAGCAATAAGTGCAAAAATTAGTTACTAAATATCTACTCATTGAATACTATTTAAAACAACTCACTTGAGTTAATTTCTCTAAGTGACCCCACCATTAAATTCCCAAGCATTCTCGAGAAAGTTAATGTCAAACCTCATAAGAATGCTTTAAGCGTGTGTTTTTAACTGATGTGAAACGTCTTTCTTGATCGAAATATGGATAACTTCAGCTTCAAGTTTCCCTCGCGGGTCAGCTTGAGAGCTTAAGTCTCAATAAGTCCTTCTAACTGTTTTCAAAATATTACTATGCCATGAGGTTTTTTGGTAACTTAACTTTGCCACTATTGCTTGAATGTTCTGTGGAAATCATCTTAATTTTGATAAGTATTCCAAATCCCAATTCTCACTAAACTACATATCTTATCAAAGGAATGATAACAATGATAAGATCATTTTCTTGTAAGAGTTAAACCTAGTTGCTGACCAAAGTGTGGCACAAACCATCTGCTGTTTCAGATCACAATAGTCACCTTCACTCAGTCACCTCAGAGAAAGACCTGAGTAAAATTAGAACTGATTTGCTTAGTTGTCTTTCCTTTGTTTTCTCACAGAACAAAGAGGAAGAGAAAATAGTATTAACTGGCTCTGGACCTACTGTGACCAAGACCATCACATGTGCTGAGATTATCAAAAGAAAATCTAAAGTAAGTCACGGGACAGAAATGTAGGGAAGCCAGGAGTGTTCAGCTATCAATTGTATTGAACAAATCATCCTCATGCAAACTGGCTAGGATACTAACACAACCACAAGTCAGCTGAAAATTATTAACACAAATCCATGCAATTAAGGGCCCATTAACCGATTCATGCGCACACTCGTGCACGTTGCTAAGGAGGTGAAATTTCACTTCCGGTCACTTACGTCAGCCTGAGCACAGAAAATAAAAACAACTCAGAAACTTGCAAATTCACTTACATTTCAGATGTTTTTCTTTGTGTTTCGCAAAATGCAAAGTNCCCCAGCATTACATTGTAAATTTGCCCGTACCCATTTCTACACCTTTGTGGAGAGAGGCAATATGAGAGTCAAGTGTCTTGCCTAAGAATACAACACAATGTCCCTGGCCAGGGCTCGAGCCCAGACAGCTCGCTCCAGAGTCGAGTGCACCAACCATGAAGCCACCGTGCCTCCCACTCCGTTAGACTAGAACATAAACTTAAAGATAAAGTTTAACTTAAAAAGATAAAAATATCAAACTTTTCTGAGAGTGATTTCTGATGGATACATGCCTGTAACTGATTGTCATTTTTCTATGTTTAGTATTCAAGATACATGGGAACCAAAAGAAGAATCATTAGACAAGTATGTATCTGCTACAAATACAATAATTGATTGGTACAGACCAATTTTCAATTGAGTGTCGTAAACCGTTAACCCAAAACCAAAGTAATCAATCTAACCAGTCACAAAAAAACACAGACAATTCAGTGAACCAATCAAAACTCAAAGTAAATACATGTAGATTGGAATTGCCCAAAAAATGTGCATGAGTGAGTCACAATTGGTGATGATTTTACTTGTAACTGGATGAAAATGGGCTCAAGTATTTTTAAACCAATCATGCAGCATAGTAATGGAAGTCCAATTACTTTCCGGCACTGAAGTGGAAAACCACTCTATTATGAATCAAATACTGAGTTACATTTTGCTTTGACAGGCTTCAAGTAACAAGGAAGGTTCCATCAATAACTATCACTCTGTCCAAGCTGCCATTAGATGCAACATTACCAGGGTAAGCCCATTGAGAATCCATTATGGTTTTTAGTAAAACACAACTGACAGTTTTCCATGAGATCTCTAAAGTAAACGCCGAAAAGAGAGTTGAAAATACATTGCGCAGTGGAGTATTTTTCATGAACTGCAAGATGTTTGGAAATGTGGGGAAACGCTTTCTGGAGTGTTTGATATATCTTCTCAATCGAAACTAAAACTAAGGAGAAAATAGAAAAATAAAATTGAAAAAACCTACACTGTATTAATATCCAAGCACTATCACTGTCATGATTTCTGTTTGTTTAAACTTGATGAATTTTAATGAGTTTGATAATAAAAGCTTAACTTTTCTTGGTGGAAAGTTGAATTTACTGTCCCTCACATAAAGT